AGCGGTGGGGCTTCCTTCTCAATTCATCAACTGGATAAAATTTTGTATCTCAACAGCTTCCTTTTTCGTCTCTGTAAATGGAAGTTCTTCACCAGTGCTCAAGGAATAAGGCACGGATGTTCCTTGTTGCCTTACTTGTACACCATACTTAACAATGTCCTTTCAAATATTCTCAATCAAGCAGCTGAGGAGGGGAAATTCGGCTACCATCCCCAATGACAAGGAGTTAAACTCACTCATTTGAGCTTCGCGGATGACATCCTTGTGTTTACAAATGGCACCATAGAATCTTTAAAAGGAGTAACGGAGGCACTAAAAGTTTTTGCAGGTATGTCGGGGCTCCACATTAATGCGGCTAAATCCAAAATCTATGCAGCCGGAACTGATCTTTCCTCCCTGATCACTGTGGCGGAGTCAATGGGTATTGGAATGGGAAGTCTGCCTATTCTATATCTCGGTATGCCTTTAACCAGTAAAGTTTTAACGACACATGATTATGAGCGTTTACTCGATAAGATCAGAAAGAGGATGCTCTGCTGGTCTAATAAGAGTTTGTCCTTTGCGGTTTGGCTCCAACTGATTCAATAGGTCATTAAGAGCATGGTGAACTTTTGGAGCTCTGCTTTCATTCTCCTTGCCAAGTGTTTGGACACAATCGAAAACATGTGTAGTGCTTTCTTGTTGTCAGGATCGCCCACGCAATCTCACTAGGCTAAAGTGAAGTGGGAAGATTTATGTTACCTAAGGAAGAGGGAGGCTTAGGGGTGATGAGGCTGAGGGAGTCATCTAAGGTTTACGCTTTGAGCCTCATATGGCGCTTGTTCACCCAACCTACTTCCTTGTGGGTTTGTTGGATCAAGTACTATTTGCTCCGTCAAAACTCATTTTGGGATGTAAGAGATGATACAAAAGGGTCCTGGAATAGGAGGAAACTTCTTAAGTTGAGGGATTTGGCTTATGAATATTTGAAAGTGGAGGTGCGAGACGGAGCAACAACTTATTTCTAGTTCGATAATTGGATGGGCTGTGGAAAACTGATAAATGCTACCGGAGCCATTGGTACAACTTATCTAGGTCTACCTCGCAGCGCGCTAGTGTGTAATGCGGTTATTGGGGATGGTTGGACTCTGAGAAATAAGGGCGGTAGGAGGTTCCAGAATATGTATACTCAAATACATGGAGAACCAATACCAGCTGCAACTAGGGGTAATGGTCTGATTCTTTGGAGACATAAGGAGAATGATTTAAAGGATTCTTTCTCTAAGGCTAACACTTGGGAACATATTCGATCAAAGAAAGACAAAGTTGATTGGTGTAAGGTTGTTTGGTTTGCGCAGGGAATTCCTCGGTATGCATTCATTACTTGGTTAGCAATTCTGAATAGGCTCTCTACTAGAGATAGGATGAAAAACTAGGGAATCACGCAGGGTTGTGAACTTTGTGGAGAAAAGGATGAGACTGGGGATCACCTTTTCTTTGCGTGCTCCTACTCTTTCATAGTTTGGGAAGGACTGATCAGAGGCTTCTTTGGCCAGAGAACTAATCCTTACTGGTCTTTTACGCTCAATATGATCAAGCGTAACAGGTTATCTCGACTTGATTCCATCCTCATCAAGATTTTTTTTCAAATGGTAATCAATCATGTCTGGAGGGAAAGAAACGTGCGACGTCATCAAGGCAAATGGATGTCGATCGAGCAGATGAGTAAAACCATCAACAAGACAATGAGGAATAGGATTGTGTCACTGAAATACGGCCCCAACACCGCAATGCGGGACTCTTGCAGCGATAGTTTCAAGTCACAAGCTAGTTGGAAGTTGGTTCTGATTTTTTTTCCGGTTTTTTTTTCTATTGTAATCCATTAATCTTACATAGTAGTATTAGTCTGATTCTTTTGTAAATGTAATTCTTTATCAAAACTAATCAATAAATTTGAAACTTCATAAAAAAAAATACATAAAAAATATGTAAATAAAAAAAATTATATATTAAGATATGTTTTTAATAAAAAGGAACAAATACATAATTATACATTAATAATATCGAGCAAGACATATTAAGTTACATAATATAAAAGAGGAAATTATAATAATATATTTCATCAGTTTGTCAAAGATTTAGAAATAAATAATTATAAAAACAAAAAACATATCGGTAGGGGTTAAAATCTAGTTGGATTTCTTATAAGAGATTCATATGATGTTTTATCAAAGTTAAACCGAAAGTAGAATTTCCAGTCTATCGAATTGGAATATTTAATCCAAAAAGTTTAAACCGGACACCTTAGTTCTTGTTCTCGGTAAAACCTTGAGGGTTTAGTGATTTTCGGACGGCGACATGTCCGTTTTGTCGGTGCTCGAACGAGGACTGGGAAAGTGGAACAAGCTTGCGTATTTATTACCCAAACCAATCGGAGCTCTTCCACGGACTGAACACCTTGACGAGCTCTTGAAAGCATGTGCTAAATCATGTTATCTGAGGACTGGCGAATCGATTCACGCTCATTTGATCGTAAGGAACCAATCATCTAGAGCTGAGGACGTATGGCAGATCAACTCTCTGATTAATTTCTACATGAAATGCGGGAAAGCTGTTAGTGCACGCAAGTTGTTCGACATAATGCCTGAGAGAAACGTGGTTTCTTGGAGCGCGTTGATGAAAGGTTATCAAGGTTCTGGGTTTGATTTTGAAGTTTTGCATCTTTTCAAAAGTATGGTTTTTTCTGGCGAATCGCAGCCTAATGAGTTTGTAGCCACCATAGTTTTTAAATCTTGTACGAGCTCTGGGAGAATAGAAGTAGGTAAGCAGTGTCATGGATGTTTTCTTAAACATGGTTTGATGTCACATGAGTATGTACGAAACACTCTTCTCTACATGTATTCTTCATGTTCTGGAACAAGAGAGGCTATCAAGATTTTGGATGATCATCCCTGTTGTGATCTGCTTGCTTTTAACTCGGCTCTTAGTGGATATTTGGAGCATGGTTCTTTAGAAGAAGGACTTGATGTTTTGACAAGGATGGCCAAGGACGATTTGGTGTGGGACGTCTTCACGTGCATGTCTTCTTTAAAGCTTTGCTCCAGTCTCAGAGATTTGGAGTTGGCTCGGCAGATTCATAGCCGAATGGTAAGGCATGGTTTCGACTGTCATGTTGATGTAAGTGGTGCACTCATTAACATGTATGGAAAATGTGGTAACCCTTTATATGCTCATAGAGTTTACAGTGGTACGAAAGCTCACAACATCATCTTGAACACAACGATCATGGATGCGTACTTCCAGAACAAGTCTTACGAGGAGGCTCTAAATCTGTTTGCAAAGATGGAAACCAAAGAGGTTCCACCTAACGAGTTCACGTTTGCTGTTTTGTTAAACTCAACCGCAGAGCTGTCTCTTCTAAGACAGGGAGATCTTCTACACGGTCTTGTGGTGAAATCTGGTTTTAGGAACCATGTAATGGTTGGCAATGCGTTAGTTAACATGTACGCCAAAAGCGGTAGCATCCAGGATGCGTGGAAAGCGTTCTCAGGCATGGCCTTTAGAGACACAGTTACTTGGAACACAATGATATGTGGCTTCTCACATCATGGACTAGGGAAGGAAGCTCTTGAAACCTTTGATGAAATGCTGACCTCGGGAGAGTTACCTAACCGCATAACTTTCATCGGCGTTTTGCAGTCTTGTAGCCATATGGGTTTCGTGGAGCAAGGTCATTATTACTTTAACCATTTGATGAAACAGTTTGGTGTCCAGCCTGATCTACGGCATTATACATGCATTGTTGGACTTTTGAGCAAGGCTGGATTGTTCGAAGACGCTGAGTATTTCATGAGAACAGCTCCTATAGAATGGGATGTTGTTGCATGGAGAGCTTTGCTAAACGCTTGTTACGTTCGCCGGAACTACAGTTTAGGAAAAAAAGTGGCGGAATACGCCATTGAGATGCATCCAAACGATTCAGGGATCTATATATTGTTGTCCAATATCCATGCCAAGTCTAAAGAGTGGGAGGGTGTGGCGAAAGTGCGTTCTCTGATGAAGCAGAGGCGTGTTAAGAAGGAGCCTGGGGTAAGCTGGATAGGTATACGGAACAAAACGCATGTGTTTCTTTCAGAGGACAATCAACACGCCGAGATTGTACTGATTTACGCAAAGGTGAAGGAAGTTTTGTCAAAGATCAGGCCGTTAGGGTATGCGCCTGATGTTGCGGGAGCTTACCATGATGTAGAAGAAGAACAGAGAGAGAACAACCTCTCTTACCATAGCGAGAAGCTAGCTGTGGCTTACGGTCTGATGAAAACGCCTGAGAATTCGCCCTTGTACGTGACTAAGAACGTGAGGATATGTGATGATTGTCACTCTGCAATCAAGCTTATCTCGAGGCACTCAAACCGGTTAATAGTTGTCAGAGATTCCAACCGGTTCCATCATTTCCAAGATGGCCACTGTTCTTGTTGTGATTATTGGTGAGGATTTGAACCGATCATTTGCCACATCACGAGCTTTGATTAACATCGTAAGCATTTTCTTAAAGTTCTCTAGTTATCATTTTATAGTTGTAAATAGTATCTCACAGCTTTTGGTTTTGACAAATTATTCATCATCTCATTGGTTTTGTGCTCTATAGGAGCTTTTGATATTTAAAGTTTTTAATATATTTTACAAAAAGGTAATATGACACAAACAACATTAACAGAAACAATCTCTAAAGCTTAACCAAAGCAAGGAAGAAAAAGAAGTGCAAATCCTTACTACAGAAACTATGATTTCAGCAGAAGTAGTTCTCCATGAATTTCACAAATCCATGGAAATTGATTCTTCCACCTTTATTTCCGTCGAATGATCTGATCATTCTTCTGCAGTTCTCAAGGTTAGATTTTTGCTTTAAGCCAAGGATTGTCAATACTCTCTGCAGATCCATGGGATCAAGAAACCCATCTCTGTTTTCATCATTGACATCAAAAGCTTGCTTCAGTTCCTCCAAGTTCGGCTCTTTCTCTTCAAACAGATTCGAAAGCTCCTCGGAACTGTAACGTTTCTGAAGTCCCTCGCTTTCTTGGTCGGTAAAGTCCTAAGCTTTGCATCACCATCTCTGCATCTTCTATGCAGAGACCATCATCATGTTTGATCAAACTCTGGACTTCGAGATCTTTGCTCTTCTTCTCGGAAACACACTGCTGGTGTTGAAGAAGAGGACAGAACCTGGAGAAAAATATCTGAGCGAAAGAAACCCATCTGAAAAAACCGATGAGGAAAAAATCCACCAGACCAAACAAAGGGTAAGAAGTAGAAGAAGAGTGTTTGCATTGGGACAAGGAACTATTTTCCATGGTTATAAGACAGTATAAGTGGTTTGCAGTCATAACTTTTGTTAGATAAAAACTAACAAACTTAGCAAGTGAATAAAATAAATGTGTGTTGTGAGGAGATGAAGGAGATATGAGTTGTGTTATATATACATGACGAATAAACCAATGTGGACAGTTTTGGTGGAGAGGCACATGTGAGGAAGTTGCAGTTGGAAGAAGAGAATAGGAAGGACGGGGAAAGAGGAAGCTTACACAAAAACTTAATATAAGAAAAGAACACAACGTAAGTTAAAAGCAAATTTCTTGTGCACCATTTTATGGTAATTGTATTGTTGGACTTATTATTAGAAGGAAACTTTGATCATTTTAGTTAGTTTCAATAAAAAAAAAAAAAGAGATCATTTTACTATTACTTTCAATTAATTCAACTATATTTTCCATAGGGATGTCACGTCTCGCTTCATCGTGTTCCTACCGTGCATAACATTTCATTTTTTATTTATAAAGATTTAATCATTATAAATATCACTGTACATTTATTATTTTGTTTCAAAAATAATGTCATTCTACATTTGCAATATAATTTTATATATTAAATTCATCTTTTACCCTTTTAAATAAACAATAGAATTTTATTTAAATCATTTTTATTTAGTTGATCATATATTTAATAGAAGCAAGTTAATATTTCTTCCGTTTATTTTTATATGATGTTTAACTTATTACACGGAGATTTAGATATTTTTTAAAAAATACTTTTAATGATATAATTTTAAAATCATAAAATTTTATTGGTTGAACAGTTTCCAATAAAATTATAGTTAATTTTAAAACTTCGAAATATATTTTATCTTAAAACATCTTATATTTTCAAATATATCAAAATGATACTCTTTGTGAAACAGAGGGAATACTAGTTTCAGAAATTTAACAAACTTCCATGTTTAATTTTTCTTTCAAGTCGTATATCTTGTTTTTTTTTTCATATCACCTTAACCGCTTATATTTATATTTCGACAAACAAAACAATAAAAAATTGAAGAAACGATTTGCCACGTTCTGTTTCTTTGATTCTAGCCTCCAAACAAACAACATACAAATTACAACAAACTTCATTCACCCCAATTTTTTTCTTGCCTCGTATATTTCCAAAGAATCCTATCATTTTATTTTTGTATAACTCAAAAGTAGATTCCAAATTTATACAAACTCAGACTAATTTTCTGGGGATGCGTGACTCGTAGATAAGTTGGCATACAAACTTATTAGTGGACCAAAGGCAAGGACTTATATGTGTAAGGTGTCCAGAGACAATCATGTACTAGTTTCCTCTCGCAAAGATCAAACTCGCAACCTATATGCATGCAAGAAGGAGCCAACCCTTACTATTGAACCACAATGTTCCGAACAAGAATCCTATCATTCTCTTTATTACTTTCAAAAATGTGCTAATCTTTTTTTTTTTTTTTTGAGAAAGAAAATGTGCTAATCTTCCCTTCGAGAAAAACAATATACAAAAAGCAGCGGTCATAGACTAAAAAACATAAAAGTAATCAAGAGTCTATATAAAGATTTAGCTAATTTTCACAATTAACTACTGATTGTTTCCTCACAATGATTCATGATTTGTTTGCAGTGCCAGGCCTGGACACACACCTATGATGCATTTGAACGGGGTTCACATTTTTGTGGGGCCTATACTATAAATAATTTTCTTTATAAAATTAAAAAAATTATATAAATATACTAATTAAATCATGTAATATGTAAATATTCTTTAGAAATTATTTTAGTTAGTTGTCTGTTTTTATCAATGTATAATTATAATAATAAAAAACTGTTTTGCATAAATTTTTTAATATATTTTAGTGACACTAAAATTATTATTTTAATTTTGTATGGGACCACAAAAAACTCCGAACCAGTTCTGCTTGTTTGACTATGATAGGAAAACATACATACTCTTACTTATTGACGGCATGAAAAGACAAGCATGAATTAATATCACATTTGCAACTACGTTCCTTAGTAATTTCATGGAAATTGCCAATGAACAAGACCGCGTGAGTGGCTTTGTTTTCGTTGTAAACTTTATTATTTTCTAAAATAAAAATGCTCATTCGTTGTTTTGTTTTGGACAATATGGGCAGTCTCTTAATGTTGTTCCGGAAAGAGGTCTAAGACAGGGGGATCACTCCCCTTTTATTTTAATTCTATGCACGGAAGCGCTCGTTAGCCTTCTAAATCACGCAGAGAATCAAGGGAAGATAACGGGGATGCGCATTACGCGTGCGTGTCCTTCGGTATCACACCTTCTATTTGTTGATGATAGTATGTTCTTTTGCAAGGCGAAGCCTCGTGAATGTGAAGAAGTAATGAGAATAGTAAAAAAATATGGACAAGCTTCATGACAATGCATCAATTTTGATAAATCATCTCTACTCTTTGGTAAGAGAATAGAACCAGATATTAGGCAAGAGATTAAAGACACACTTGGAATTCAGAATGAAGGAGGGATGGGAACATATTTAGGTATCCCAGAGGATATTAGTGGATCAAAATGCAAGCTTTTTACATACTTAAAGGACAAGCTGAGAAATAGAGTAAACGGATGGACGAGCAGGTGGCTATCAAAACGTGGCAAGGAAGTTATGATCAAGTCGATCCTGCTAGCACTCCCAACTTATGTCATGTCCTATTTTCTTCTTCCATTGGAGATTTGTGATGCTTTAGCTAGTGCCATTGCACATTATTAGTGGAGTTCGAACCCCCCAAAGAGTGGCATCCACTGGTCAACATAGGAGAAACTATGCCTTTTTAAAGAGGAAGGAGGAATTGGGTTCAGAATGCTTCATGAGTTTAATCTAGCATTGTTAGCAAAGCAGTTATGGACACTAATTCAATACCCATATTCTTTGGTAGCCCGAGTCATGAGAGGCCGATATTATCGAATGAGCTCGCCTTTGCGTAAGCTTCCTGTCAGTAGTCCATCGTATATGTGGACAAGTATATCGGCGGCACGAGAATTATTATTGCTGGGAGTGAGAAAGAAAATACATTCGGGCTATGAGGTAAGAGTATGGGAGGATCCTTGGAATCCTACCATTCCAGCGAGAGCAGCGTCCCTATTTGCACCGGTATTGCACCCGAACATGAGAGTGACTGAACTTATTGACCAAGAAACTAAGTCTTGAGACCTAGGCCGGCTGGCGAACTACGTTGATGATGCTGATATACCCCTTATAAGGAGTATGGCCATTAGCACAACACATCACAGGGATAATTATTGCTGGAGCTACACCAGGAATGGACAGTACACAGTCAAATCTAGATATTGGGTTGCATGGAATATCTTGATGAAGGAGGAGGAAAGTGTAGTTTGTGAACCTAGTATAACAAAACTGCAAGCACATGCTTGGAAGGTCAAGGAACCTTAAAAGATGTGCCATCTTATGTGGCAAATAATAACAGGTCATATGGCTATTACAAATACTTTGAACTATAGACACATGAGATGTGATAACCACTATCCAAGATGTGGGGAACCGGAAGAATCAGTAACTCACGCAATTTTTCAGTGTCCACCCGCAATGCAAGTTCAGGCCTTATCATCTACGCCTACCAACCCTTCCTTGTTTCCACTACAGAGCATGTATGCAAATATGGATTATCTCTTCTGGAAAAAAAATGCAATAATGGAACCGGAAATGGACAGGGATCCTTATCCCTGGCTAATATGGTATATCTAGAAGGTTCAGAACGATAAGTTGTTTAGAGGAATCGATAGAGATCCTTTGGAGTTAGCCCGATACACAGAGAGTGAGTGTCAGGCACGGTTCCAAGCCAATGAGCAGACTATATCGCCATCTCAAGGAAGTATAGATGTTGAAAGCCATGCCATAAGTCTAGGAAAATATTTGTATGGTAGATGGCTCTTGGACCTCTACAGCTCAGTTCAGTGGATGTGGTTGGGTATGGAACAACAGCATGGAGAATAGTCAGTTAATGAGGCTGCCTAATTTTGATTGAGTGGAGTCTGCTTTGCATTCTGAGCTGGAAGCACTGCGGTGGGTGATGGAGAGTATGCTTGAACATTCGCCTTGTCAGAGCTTCGGGACGGGCTGTAAGGAGTTGATAGCGATGATCAGAAATCCTCTTGACTGGCCGAGCTTCTCAACGGAATTGGAAAAGCTCATGATGCTACGGATCTGCTTCCTAGATTTTAAGATCTTCTATGTTCCTAAGACACAAAATGCTGTTTCTGATTCCTTAGCTAAAACTGCCCGATCCTTTTATTGAGAACTTTTGTTTGTTGTTTTATTCCGGTCTGGATTCTCAGACCACCTCAAGTATGAGTAATAGATCAGCCTTTTGATTCCAAAAAAAAAAAAAACTTCAAATATGTGATAAATAAGATATTATAAAAAGCTTATAATAACAATAAAGAAAGAAAAACAAAGTAGAACCGTAGCGGCGTTCTGAGGAGACCCCAATGGTGATTTTGATCTTCTCTTTGAAGATCTGATTTCTCGTCCTCTATTCATCCTTTGGTGATAGATCTTACGTCAAAACTAGGATATCTGACACAGAATCTACATGATCTCTACGTTACTTTCTGTTCAAGCAAGGACATAAACACGATCATATCTTCATTGAATTCTCTCTGTTCTGGTTGCTCTTATGGCATCATACAAGAACGTACATCATTTCACAGACGAGGATGATGATGATGAGCCAATCAACTTGTCGGATCTCGCTGATGAAAACCTAATACGTGAATATTGATTGTCTCTTATAGGCAAGATCCTTAATCCTCGAAAACAAAAAGTAAAGCGGCTCATTGTTGCGATGCCAGAGCAGTGGGGAATAACAGAGAGGATCCCTGTGTGTGATCTGGGAAATGGCCGATTCCTTTTTAATTTCGAGAATGAGGAAGATGTCAACTCAGTTCTTTCTAAGGGGGCCATTTCACCATAACTATTGTATGTTCGTTCTGATGCGCTGGGAGCCTATCGTAGAAG